AGCATTTTGCCTTTCCCTCTCTCTGTTCTATTGGGGCTGCTTCTAACACAGGAGCTTGCAAAGTCTGAAATCGTCTGATAATTTAAAAAGGAAGAAGCTCATTTTTTCACATTCCATTTCCAAACTTTTGTAGGCATTAGTGATCTAACTCAAAGACTCTGCAGCAAAAGATTGTATCTCCTGGGAAAAAAATTATTCCTTGTCCTATGAATTCCTTATGATGTGTGATATGCTGCCAAATATTGCACTTTTAAAATTACTTGTTTTTTTTTCCAAATCACAGAGAATTGACAAAACAAAAGAGACAAACTGAAAGGGAAAAACTCCAGGTGATGCACTGTCTGCAATCAACTTGCTCTGTTCTGGCTCATTGCCATGAATTAAAATACCAGGATGAATGAATGCACACACTGGGGTGATTTTTAAAAGGGAGAAAAGAGAATTGAAGAGAAGAACAATAACAATTCAGGAAATACAGTCTTGAGGTTGATAGATCTAATTTTGTTGCATTTTCCTCCCTCTTTTTTCCATGTTAACCCTGAAGATTTTATCTACTAAGAAAAAAATCTTCAGTGGTGTAAGTCATCTATAGTGTTTCTATGTCACACTTTACTTCCTCCTTTCTGCCAGGAAAGGCATTGCATCGTCAGCTTATTGAAATCCTCTGCCCTGTTAGCAAGGCCAGCTCTACCAGGATAAAAGCCCTCTGGGTGAGTCTGCTTCAAAGATGCTGCTCTTTTCCAGTCGTCAGACTAGCAACAGTAGTGGCCTGTAAGAAGATCCCACTGCCACATCTGCTGTCAGTCATGTGTCCACAGCTGGCTCCAAACTCTTTCTGTGTCCACTTCTCCAGCAGGACAGCTGAGGCAGGCCCCAGAGCTTTTCTGTTGCTGCTAAAGCATGAATGGAAAGCGTACACAGTATATGGACAGGAGCAAAGGGAATGAGGGCAGACCAGCCAGTGCCTATGCTGGAAATGGGCTGACAAAGACATCCAAGTGTCAGCCAAGAGGCTGAACCTGCTTCACCACACAGGCCACCACACACTCTCCTCTTCCTGCTTGCAAAAGAACAGGGCTGGATCTCTTGCCTGTGCTTCGACTCTGCTGTGAGTGCCACTCACAAAGGATCCCAGAAGAGGAATCATCTGCTATGGCTGTCTAGGTTGGATTTTGCAGTGCCCAGCAGCTTTGTTACTGATGGTGTTAATGCTGCCCTTCACAAGTATTCCCCCAGTGCAGAAAGAGAGAGATGCACAGCCTTAGCCAGTTATTGCTACACCAGTAACATGATAAACACAGTTTGATGCACTAGAATATGCTCATCCCTAATGCCATGTTTTTCAGCAGAGCACATAGTCTTACTTCTTTCAAACAAACAGACACATTTTAATGAAGAGAAGACCAGTGGGTTGTAGGAGAGACTAGGCAAAATTTGATATATTAAAAAACATGGGTGCATTTGTAGCTTATGAAGTCTAGCAATAATGCCTGCAGTATGTGCCAGGTGGTATGAAATCTCACAATGCTGGAAGCCAACAAATATATAGTATTATTACCACACAGCAAACAAGTAACACCCTGGATTCTGATTCAAGAAAATAAAAATTGTCCTTAATGTTTTTAAGTTATTAAATTTTAAGGTTGCATTTTTAGGTAGACACTTGAGGGGTAGTCTAGGGATCTAAGTTAATGTTGATTTAAATGTGTTTACATTTTTTCTCTCTACTGATGTCACATTGGTCAAATGTACTATTTAAATTAAATTTCCTGATCTGAAATTATATTGCTATCTATGCTGAAGAAATAGGATTGTCTTGAAGACATTTATTGTATTTACTTGTGTGCAACCGAAAATGCTTTTAGGAATTACAAGAAATGCACTCCTGGTTTAAGTGGAAACATCTTTACTCCCACTGTTATCTTATAAATCAAAATGAACTCAATAAAGTCGATATTAAAACAGTAAAAAGTGAGATTATTTGTTGATGAATGAGTATCAAACCTTGAATTTCTCACTCAGCTATTATTAAGTCTCCTTTTGAAACTAGTAATTTAAAATATAATCCAGACTCTCTGTCTACAGTTACAATGTGATATCAGCAGTGCTGAAGTTCAGCAAGGACTGCCTTTAAGTGCTTCTCTTCTTACCTCTTCCAAAGTACCATACCATGGATTCCCACTGTGAAGGAGTGCGGGCAGCGGCTTCACAGAAGCTGGCACCTGATAGAAACAAGCTCCTGCATCCTGGCAGTAGCTCAGACAACTTATCTGAAATAGGCATGGATATCTACAAAACCTTTGCAAAACAGATGGAAAAAGCCCTAACCTGGCAAGAGTCAGGATCTAAATTTTTTGCTGATGACACATTACACAGGGGACATTTGCTGACAGGGCCAGTTCTGTCATAAACTCATTAATTTAAAACAGAAAAGAGTTTAATATTTTACTTTTCCAAGTAGAATTGATTTTAGGCCAGCAAAACAACTCTTTTCTGCCTTTGTTTTCCTTCACTGCATAATTTAGCATTCCAAAAATACTGCAGATTGATGATGGTGACATCTGAATTTAAAGAATTCCTACAAGGTTTACAGCTAAGCATTACAGTTATTAACTCTCTAGACTGTCACTGATTGTAAACAGAGCTTTCAAAAAAAAATGTGTACTGATTTTTTAAAATAATATCATTTTTTAAGATCTTTGCATGAGAGAAAGAGTTTGGACTACTTAGACAATTCATACAGAATTACTTATATTGAGGTGTTTATTTATTTTTCTCAACACAACTGCTTAAAGTACAGTTCCACTGGCCTGGAGCAACTGTAAAATGATTTATATGTGCTCACAAATAAGTAAGCAGAGGACAGTTTAGTTTTTTAATTGTTCTAAAATTCTTAAAGTCACTTTTAAGAAGCTATTGTCTATCACTGGAAACTGGAGAACTATAGAAAACAGAATGCCTGTATATTTTCCAGCATAGGGAACCAGTTGTTAGACAATAAATGGTTTATAAAATTGTAAGAGATTAAATATTTTTATGAACAGTTGCTTTGACTCTTTTTACAGCACTGATTTCTTTCTCACAAACTTAGTCCCTCTCAGCAAACCTTTGTGCACATGTTGAAGTTTACACTTTGGCTGAGTCCATGGAAGATGCTGAGAAGTCACATGTGTAGGGAAAAGGAATGTATCATGGTAATGTAGTAATATTCACAGTACTACATGGTGGGTGGCTTAGAAAACAGCCTTTAAGCGATGTCCTAAAAAATTAGTTCCAACTACTGCATTCATATTTAATAAAGAATTAAATTTTATTTATAACTATTATGTGTAGTTGTGGGTTTTTTTACCTCAAGTCAGGTATCTCCAGGATATAAGGAAACATGCTTCTATTGTTTTAAGTGATGTTTCCACACAGTGAGCTTATGTCAGTCATCATCTTCTAACATACACTATGCAGTCATGCTTCCTAGTCTACCACACATGATGTACCGATGGGAAATAAAGAGAAAATTATATTTACTCCTCTAAAATCTATCAGAAAACTAATAAAAATCTGAGTGGCATCTTCACTTTAAAGAACCACGAAAGTTCTTCACAAATATCTGATTTCTGAGGTTCATCTGCTGTCAGAGCCTAAGCAAATGGGATGGGATCAGGGCTGGGTACAGTGTTAGACCAGCCAGGTGAGCAATGAGGATGAAAAGAGGTACTGGTCCTTTCAGCAATAAATCTGATAAGGTGTGTCCTGCTCTGTGTTGTAAAATGCAACAAGTTTTTATTCGGAAACAGCCATTTTAGAATTACATCCATCTTCACTGTAAAAAAGTTATTGTTCTTCAGAGCCTAGCAGACAACTTCCAGACAAAAGACTCTGAAACAGTAATAACTGTAATTTTTCCTCAGTTAATCTGAAAGAATTTATCAAAGATGTTGAGTATCAGTAACTCTACTCTTTAGCCCAAAAGACAAAAATTAACTGATTCTCTCATTGTCTCTCAGTAGGAAAATATATGTGTCACTGCAGGAAGCCTAGATGGCATTCAACAGACACTTCTTCTGTATGACAAGAAAGAAAAGGGACTTCTTTCCATCCTTTTGTGGTTTTTTTTCCCCCCACTCTTTTCCTAGGGCACTTCTGTGCAACTGAAGTTGTATTTCACTGATGCATTTTTTTTAGCTTTAAATAGTGTTCAGATTCTTGGAGGGATCATTGCTCAATAGCAATAATACAATAGAGAAAACCAGATATGTAATTCATTCTAAGCTAATTGCTAATAAATGTTAAAATTAAACATAGCAAGCAATAGAATGAGTCTTTGGAGGGAAAGATTTTCCACAGCAATTGCACAGAACCCTTTAAGATCAAATCAATTAATCTAATTACCCTGACTAAATTTCAGTATAACATATACTTTCACCTCACACTATGCATTTCAGTTTATGAACTATTCCCATATTTGGGTGAAAGCAAATAGCCACAGTAGATAATAATCGATATATACACTGAGGAAAAAATAAGGAAAATCTCACCATAAGGCAGCACAATAATTTACAAATAACTTTTCATTCTGGAGGAATAAGAATTTATTCCAAATCCTGAAACACATTTAGCCTTTGCTATCCCATTTTGATCAAGAGATGAAACAGATCATGTCTGCTGTGTTGGTACATCCATTAACCAGTTGAGAATGTCTACCTGGTCTGACTATTGACTGAAGTCAAGAGACACCATTTCAACTGGCTGCAGTAATGAACTTTTTGAAACAATCAATTTGCCCTGGCAGCTTCTTCTGTCTTCATTCATTTAAAAACATGATAAAACTTTGTCAAAGAAACATTTGGAAAATAGTCTTATCACTGCAGAAAATACAAAACCTATTTATTACTCTTTGCATCCAACATGAGGCTTGAAAGTATATAGAGATGTTTTTTAAGGCAAACAACAAATATCTGCATCTATGTTAGGAATATTCCGGACAAAAAAATCAATATCCTTACCCCAAAACTTTGGTGGCCATGTGATTGGAGTGAAAGTATTGTTCCTATCCATAACATCCAAATAGCAAGTACAGAATGGTACGTCCACAGAGGAGCAATAGTTTTCTGAATTTTGAGATTTTTGCACTAGAAGCAAAGCTTTTGTGCTGCCACGGAACTGTGTTGTTTGCCTGAAAGGAAATGGATGTATCACATTTCCTGCTTCTGGACTCGAATTAGTAAGTGCTTGCCTTATCTTGGAACACCACATGGTTCCCGAGACAGAGAAGTAGTTTCCTTCTCGTCATTTCCTCAACCAGAGCAAATCGACTCAGAACAATACCAAATCACCTCCTCCACTGAAACTTTTCTAACTCCAGAAGTCCAGAGATAGAGAGATGAAAATTCCTTTCTCTTTCCTTTAAAGATTTTCTATGTTAAAGACATTTCTTCAACATCCAAAAGCACTTGTATATGGGTAGGAATTTTCAGTAAGAAAAATGCACCAAGCAGTTTTTAATGGACACCAATTCTTTAGGATGCTAATCTAGGGTATGAGGATGGTTTACTATTCACCATTATTCCTTGGTTGGTTTGAGGAACTAGCTGGGCCTGACAGTGTAGCTGTAAATTTTTTCCTTTCCACACCCCATTCTGAAATATGAGTTCCCTGGAACACAAACAGGCTTTGAGCTAATTGCTTAGACACGTTTAATACAGTTTAATGCAATTTTAATTCCCCAATGGAAGTGTAGGTACTGCTGCTGTATATAACATATAGCAATAACAACATAGCTAAAAGAGAAATTAGACAAGATATTTAAGACATAGACCTAGAATTAATGGAGAATGAGTGGATATTGATAAAATATATACTTCTGTATTTCTGTGATAATTTCTGTAGAAACAAAGCTATTTCCTTCTTACATATGCTTCAGATAATGGATAAACATTCCATAAACTTTCTGCCATGAATGGAAACCTCTGTTCTCTGAAGAGATGAATGAGAGTTTCCTTGCCCTTATACTATAAAACCTCCAAACAAACCCAAACTCAGAACTAGCTATATTTATTTTTCATAATGAATATCTAGAATCCCCTAAATTTAGGACTATTCCAATCTTAAGATTTGGACATGGCATCATCTTAATGTTGAGCCTTTTCTGTTATGCTTCAGTTTGGTTTTGATTTTTATGAAAGACATTTTTTAAAATACTGAGTGAAGACTCCCTGATGGGTAATGGAAACTGGCAGTTTTCAAAGCCTGGGCTTAAAATGGCATATCCAAATACGGAGTTAAGAAATTAAATGAAAAAGATCTGGTTTTCAGATGACTGTGAACAAGTTAAAACTTCATAAGAAATTCTGGGAATATTTAATTTCTGTTGGGACACTGATACCCGAATAGATGATAAAAATATACAGAATAAATAGTATACAAAATATAAAATATAAAAATATACAGAATAAGTAATATCAACTAGAGTTAGATTTGTGCTCTAAGAGCATATAGAAACAAACCAAAACTGAATTATTGTAAACTATAAAATGAGAAAATTAAATTATTTTATTTTAGTGACTGCATCTATTGAGATGATTATTGTAAAAAATAATTGAACACAATCTAGTTGCAAAGCATCTGATTTCAGACACGAACATGTATACAAATAATTGCATGTTACACATAATCAAGTGTATGAAATAAAAACCTTAATTCTTTGCGCTAAAGTTGACGACACTGAGAAATAGGACAGTTTCTGTCTTGACAGAGTGTTTCAAGATGGGAGTTTTCTTGTTTTCCTCAGAAACAAACAGCTGATATGGGCCAGCAGCAGATCAGAGAAGCTGCACAACCAAGGGTCTTACCTGTGTCACACACCCATAATGCCTATCAGTAACTCGCAACAAATACAGTTTTAAATGAATAAAGGTGATATGGGTTTAAACTGACTTGCTAAACAAGAGGCTCAGGTCAGTTTCAAACTGTGTTTCCACTACTGATTCTTGCAAGAAAAAGGAAGAATTGCTAATTTGGGCACCAGAATTTATCTAAAAGAGTACAACATATCATATTCTGAGACAGAATCATAGAATGGTTTGAGCTGGAAAAAACCTTCAAGATCACCTAGTTCCAACCCCTTTGCTTTGGCAGGTTGGAGCCTTCCGGTAGACCATGCTCCTCAAAGCCACATCCAACTTGGCCTGGAACACTTCTGGGGATGGGGCACCCACAACTTCTCTGGGCAACCTGTGCAATCTTCACCGAAAAGCTAAAGCAGATTTTTAAATCATAGACTCGTTTTATTATTTTAAGTGTTAGACTAATTTTATTTCTGTTCTCTTTATTTCTGAGTATTGAAAAAATATATTTTACTGGTAACCCCACAGATTCTTTTATTTTCCTTTATTGAGAAGTATCTTATCCTGAAAGTAAAATCATCATAGCTCAAGGTACCCTCATGGGTAAAAATGCTCATCATCTTTCATTATATTGGCAAGTATAAGCCTGTCACTTCTGACTGATGGGATATGGGTGTATGTAGATGATAAGATGTCAAATACATTGCTAATGTGAGTTCAATTCTAACAATATGAGCAGTTTTTTACTCTTTGAAAAGATTAATTTAATTCTGTCCTAAAAGGTTCCAAACTCACTGATTAAATTAGGGAATGTATTTTGAATTTACTGCAGCACCAGCCCTGATCCTGACGAAACACAGGTATATATATTGAATTCTCCTTCACAAGCCCACAAAATCTTCTTAATTCACATGTAAGCAGAGTTCATTAAAAAA